CTGCTCCATCTGTCCTTATGTTTCCCTGTGGTTCCCCAAGTCCCACTGCTCTGTGTTGTTTCTACACTGTCCAGGGAACAAAGGTGGTCATGGCTCCAGCAGGTGGCTTCCAGTCCCAGTAACACTTGCTGTTGACCTCGAACCTGGTCCTTAGGATTTTCTGTGTGGCCTCCTTCCTTTAAGAATGATGGTGGGAACCGAATTACCTGCTGAACTTCGGTTCCTCACTCCAGAAAGTATTGGTCTGGGGATCATCTGTGAAGTCCTGGAATCTATCAGAATCCTCTAGTGGTACCTCCTTCATACATACAGACATCCACTGATTCCACGGATATTTAGTGATGCCCATCACACCAGGAATAGAGTAATGAGTCAAAACAGACACAGCCCTGCTCTCATGGAGCTTAAAACCCAGTGGGAGGCAGACCCTAACCAACCCAACATAAACCCACAACTGACGCAAGTTCAAGTTCAGGGTACCATGAATGTCTGCAATGAGGGGAGGTCCAGGGAAGCTTCCTTGGCTGAGAAAATGAGCTGAGATCTACAGGAAGGGGAAGGGTAAACTGCCGGAAAAAGACAAGGCAAACATTCCAGACCGAGGGAACAGAGTATGCAGGTGTCCTATGGTGGGTGACAGCCTGGAAAGGATGGAGGATTAAACGAAAAGCAGGGAGACAGAGAATGGATAATGAGATCGTCACGGTACACTGAGTCTGCCCTGAGGGCAACGAGACACCACTGATGAGTTTTTTAAAGAAAGAGAACGGATCGGATTTCCATTCTGAGCTTGACTTGCAAGACCATGGACAGCAGATCTAAAGCCTGGATTTCAGGAGCCAAAGGAGATGAGGACACCTTCAGATCTTTCAGAAGCACCTGTGGACTGGTGCCTCTGGGGATGGTGGGATTTCAAAGAGCAGGTGACATTCAGAGCAGAGAGCAAAGAATCCTAGGCTGCGGAGTGGCAAGTCTCAACGATGGATGTGCCTCTACAGTCTGGATGAAGTGGGGCAGCTCAACACCACAGGCCATATCTGATCTGTCTGGCCGATATCAAGAAGGAGGGCCTGGAGTCCCAACAATGAAACCGGAAGGATGCCCGGGAGATTGGAGGGATTCCCAGGTGACCAGACCCTCAGCCACACAGAAGCCATGGCGCCCAGGAGGTACCACCACCCTCCCACTTCTGATCCCAGTAGCCTGTAGCAAACACTGACTGCCTTAGTCAGCCCAGGCGCTGTCATAAAATACCATGGGCAGGTTGGCTTCAATAGCAGACGTTTATTTCCCACAGCTCGGGAGGCTGGGAGTCCAAGATCAAGGTGCAAGTCAGTTCAGTTCCTGGTGGGAGCCCTCATCCTGGCTTGCAGATGGCCGCCTTCTTGCTGTGCCCTTATATGGCCGTTAAAGCCACCAACCCCACTGTAAGAACCCCGCCTGTATGATTTCACACAACCCTAATTCTCTCCCAAAGGTCCCACCTCCAACCACCTTTTCACTGGGTTGGGGCTTCAACATATGAGTTTTATGAATTTGGGAGGGGACACAGTTCAGTCCCTATCAGTGTCTGACCCTGACAGGACAGCCCTCTTGGCTCTGGGCTGTAATGCGTGGTCCAGAACCCCAAGGCACTGGACTGAGGCTAGTCTTCAGTGGAGACCACACACTTCTCACTTCGTTTTTCCCTGCTCCGTCCTCACTCCTCATCTCTCATGAGCAGCCCCAATAAATCACTTGAACAAAAATCTCCATCTCGGCTCTATATTTAGAGAACTGCAGTCAAAGCATCCGTCCTTCTACCATCAGTCAATCAATGACACAGGGCCAGCTGCTGACCGTGCCTGGAGTGGCAAAGAGGCAATAGCGGGGCACACCGACCTGCAGTCGGGGTGCCCAGATGCTCAACCCTGCTCTGCATGTGGCATCAGGCAAGCCGTCCAGCCTCACTGGGTCTGTTTCCCCGTCTGTATGTTGGTGATACAACCACCTCCACTGGATGGATGGATTCACCATCAAAGCACTTGGAAAACCACAAAGTGCTATTAATAACACTGGTAGCTATTCAAGGAGTGCTGTCGGAACCCTGAGTGCACTGATATTCTGTCCCTAACTTTAAGGGAGCCCTAACTTTCCTTCCTTCCCCTTGCTATGGTTGAATTGCATCCCCCCAAAAGACACATTGAAGTCCTAACCCCAGCACTTGTAAATGTGACCTTGTTTGGAGGTAAGATCTTTGCAGATGTAATCAAATTATGATGGGGTCATAGGAGATCAGGGTGGCCCTAATCCAGTGACTGCTGTCCTTATAAGAAGAGGAAATTTCGACACAGAGACACACAGGGAAGAAGGCCATGTGATGATGGAGGCAGAGGTCCGATCTCTATGCATCTACAAGCCAAGGAGCACCACAGACTGATGTCGAGCACCAGAGACTACGAGAGAAGCATGGCACTGACTATCCGTCACAGCCCCCCTGATGGAACCGACCTTGCCAGCAGTTTGATTTCAGACTTTCAGCCTCCAGAACTGTGACAGAATAAATATCTGTTGCTCTAAGCCACCTACTTTGTGGTACTTTGTTACAGCAGCTCCAGGGAACACATATGTCCCCTATTTATGGGCGTGGACTGGGACTGCCTGAAAATCATCCACTTGTGATCAAGATATAACAGAGCCTCTCTGTATGATTAAGGGGGAAGACTGTGACCTTGAATTTGAAGAGAAGCTGTATCGCACCACAAGGAAACTAAGTCCCCAAGAAACGCACGTAAGAGGTAACCTAGCTAAATCACAAAGGGAATAAAAAAGGCGTGGGAGAATGGTGCATGCAGGGAACTAAATTGAAAAGTAACCTAGTATATCATACATACTAGCAGACCAGACCTCGGTGATGATGTGTGTGACTCTCCAGGCCTGTTTCCTGATAGGCAGAACCAAAACACTACTTGGCTCATCAGAGTTGCTGAAAAAATTTAAACAAGATATTGCCTATAAGTGCTTTGTAGCGTGACTGACATTAAAAAACTCCAATGTTAGCTATTATTGTACGATGACGCTGATTACAAACGACGTGAGCTCTTGGAAACAAACCTCTGAACCTCAGCATCTTCATTCATTGAACAAGAATAATAGATATTTCACAAGGCTGTTGCCATGACTGAAAGAAGAAACATGGAAGTCTTTTCTATTTAATTGAAATAGAATTGACACAGAACATTGTGTAAGTTTAAGGTATAGTGCACTGATTTGATACATTTATATATTGCAATATGATTACCTCCCTGGCATTAGCTAACGCCCCTATCATGTCACATAATTTACCACTTCTGTTTTGCGGTGGGAGCAATGGATGGGCTACAGGGCATTATGCTACAGTTTGGTTTTGAGCACTGTGCCTTGGATGGGTTCCCTAGCGACATACAAACCAGTGCAGTTCCCAGGAAGTAACAGTAGAGGGCAGCAGGGCCTCATCTTTGCCCCTCCAGTCTAGGAAGCTCAGAGGTCAGTGGGGAAACTCAGCTTCCCCTGGGCTTTAAATCTGGGGACCCTCAAAAGCATTCCTCTGAGAAGTCAGCCGTTTGCCTGGCTTTTAGAGGAAAAAGCAATTCAGTGGAATACACGTTCCTTAAGAGCTCACTGGGTGTTACAAACCTCGGTTTAAAACGGGGATTATATTTTACAGGGATATTTTCCAACTTTTATGTGGTGTAGGCTCAGCACTTAAGGCTTCTGAATATTCCGGGGCCTCAGAAACAGACCACTTTTTGCAAAATCAACCCCTTCTATGATCAGTTTCCTAAAATATCAAGTCATAAAACCTTGTTTAAATTACTAGTTATGACGTCTAAGAGGTTTGTCACAAGCCTTTGGGAGAGAAATCCTTCGAAGTGTTAGTCCCCTTCTGGTCCAGTTCAGTGTTGGATTTATCGCAGCTTTATGGATGAGCAGCTGCCAGTCTACTGCAGGCGGATTTCCATTTTGTTTGAGCTGCACGTGTCAGAGCCAAGCATTTCCTGAATGTTCCATTAGGAGTGACAGACACCAGGCTTCTCTCTGTCCCCCAGTCCCACTCACCTCTCCAGCTAGCTGCATTATCCCACTTAGTATTACGAAATATTTCAAAAGTGCAAGAGAACAGGTACTAGTGTAGCCACATCACGTTTAAGAATGAAATACATCAAATACGTGGAAAGTCCCCAGGGATGCACACGGCACCTCTCTTCTCCATCCCAAGATGTAACACTCCCCCAAACTGGGTGTTTATCATCAAGACTCTATTTTCCCACTGGAAAATTTTGAGGAAGAACCAAGCATCCTTTCTCCAATATCTTAATAAAGGGAACAGAACTGCACACTCCAAAGATACTGAGCCAAAGAGTGGGAAGGGATGGGGAGTGGGGAGGGGGTGGGGAACCCAGAGGAAGCTGGAAGTCTTGGGGGGGGGGAGTAAACCAATTTTATTGTCCATTGTTACGTTATAGAAAAATCTAGAAATAATATATCTGTAGAGAAGAAATAAATGACTCAAATAAGAGGGCAACAGAAATAATTTAAATTTGAGTATTTTCCAGGATATTAGGATGAAAACCATTTCAAAGCACACGTGTCTGGCTTCAGAGTAGTTTTTGTTCACTGGCCAAAGCCTGCTGTAAAATTAAGGTGTTCAGAATCTTGTCTGCTCTACTGGCTCTCGACAGAACCTTCGAGGTCTTTGAGAAAAGCAACGTACTCTCCTGGCGCCCCCATCTCTGAGCTCCAGGGCACGGGCGGTGCTGAGAGCGGAGCTCTGCGGGGGGGGGGGCGCGGTTTCTAAGGATGCCTGCTACGGGGAAGGGCTGTAACGGGGTGCGGGGAGGAAGGCAGGAAGGCAGCGTCACCGCACCTCCCGCCCCGCCCGCTGCGCGGTGCGTCCCTCCCCCAGCCTCCCCTCCCCTCAGCGTTCCGGTCCGGCCAGGTTGGGACCAGCGGGCCGGCGCAGGAGCCCCAGCGCCACCTACCGACGACGATGAGGACCTCCCTCTCGATGTGGGCCTGGATGTAGATGCGGCCGCGGCGCTCCGTGTGGTCCGTGCCGCAGAGGCTGGGGACGTTCATCACGCAGCGCTTGTGCACGTTCATCATGCAGGCTGCGGGGGCACAGGGAGGGGTCACGGCTCAGGCTGGCCCACACTGGTCCCTTCCTGTCCCCCTCCTTCCCTCCGAGGCTGGCGGGGACCAGCCCGCCCTGGCCAGACCTCATCAGAAGGGCTTCTCCAACTCTCCTCCCAGCCCCCCACCCCCCCACCCCACCCCAGTCCCTGATGGAGGTGAAACGTGTCCGTTCTCCCCGATGGCTAAGGCACCCCGCACACCCCCAACATGTCTAAAGCCAGAGTCACCAACTTCAATGCCATGGGCGGCACGTAACAGGGAAGCTTTGAGCGCAGCGGGACTCCACCAATGGGAGAACACAGCAGCCCCCACTCAGGCGCAGGACGCCGAGATTTTCCCACTTCTCAAGATAAGCAGGAATCCTGATTTGTATGTGACATCGCCCAATTCTTAAATACTGACAGGCTAACAGGTTGGGTTCCCTGGAAAGAGTCTGAGAAGGGGAGTTGGGAGCTGGCTGTGAGGGGAGCTCCCGTCCTCAGATGACCTTTCAGAGTTGTCCCAAATTGACACACCTGGTCCCAGGCCTTTGCTCCCCTGCATCTGCCCATCTTTGGCCATGAACTACCCCCTTGGGAGGGACATCATCTTGGGATCCGGGCAGAGCAACAGAGTATCGACCATAACTAATTGCGAGAGAATTTAGACCCAGGGTGGGAGGAATGAAATGTGTCTGCACACTGAATCTCTCTCCTGTGTGATACGATAAATACATGCCCCCTTCCCACATTCCATAGGGTATCGGTGCTTCTTTCAATGTGGGGTTGGTTTTCCCTAAGTCTTCTGGAACCAAAGCTGCTTCAGGAAGGTGAACCAGGAATCCAGTGTTCTCTAGGGGGACCCTCATTCCAGTCTGAGAAGCCAGGAGGAGAGGCTGGGTCACCCCAGGGGGCCTGCATTTCAGGGGATGCCACAGGAGCTGAGGGCATGGCATCCCCAGGGGGCAGGGGGTAGGTACCGAGGACACCCCTTCTCGGCCCGCCCAAGCTCCAGGGGGCAGCAGACAAATTACAAAACTGGAAATGAGTTGTGGGGAGAGGATGGTGGGGAGGAAGGGAGAGCCCCCTGGAAACCGAACGCCTGTGTCAGGGCCCTGTGTCAGGGCAAGCTCCCTCCCACCATGTGCTTGAGGCACATTCTGGGGCCCCGCGTGCTTATAGGAATCAGTGTCCTACAGGCAGGAGGCATCGGCATCACTGGCTCTCCCTGCCTCTGCCATGTGTCTATTTGGGAGCCCTCGCTCGCCACGTGTGTCTCTGTAGCTCTTGCCCTGTGGCTATTTGTCTCCTGGTACCTACATGGATGTATGTCTCTTTCCTGGTCTCTGATCCTCTGCTTCAGGGTGTGCCTCCCAGCATCAATGAGTTTCACACTCAGCACCTGTATCACGTCTCTGTCTCCATCTGTCCCTGTCGCTCCGTGTCTGTTTCTGTCTGTCTCTGCTCTCCCTCCATCTCTGTATCTCTGCCTGTGTGAGTGCATCTCTCTATGTGTCACTTCCAGTCATTCTGCCTGGCCATCTGTCTGTCTGTCCTTCCCTCTGCTCGAGTCTCTCTCTAGCTGAGTCCCTCGGTAGCTTCGCCCACGGCCCCCCACACCTGGGCACATGTGTCGCCCGCCCCTCCATCCGCCTCTGTCTGTACTAGTGTGTTTCTCCCTCGCGCTCCTTTCCACCTCATCCACACCCACACTCCTCTGTCACTCTCTGCCCCTGGGAGTTTCTCCCTCTGTCCTCTGGGCCCTGTGACAGGGACAGTCTGGCCTCATGACTGCTCAGCCTGTGGCAGGTCAACAGGCCTCTGGGAGCCACCAGCACATGGAGCCCCCATCCCTTTGCAGCTGCAGCTCTCACCACCTGCTCATGGGCCATTCAGCCTTTCACTGCATAGAGAGAAGTCCTGCCCCCCACCTGTCTTGTCCCACCCCAGCCTGGCCAGAGAATCACTCTCTTCCCCCTTCTAGCATAAACCTGAAGGGTGCTGAAGGCAGGCTCTGCAAAGAATTGCATCAGCCCCACGTCAGTGTTAGAAACGGCTGTGCGCTCAGCTGCAGGGATGGCCCTGATTTGTCCGTGCCTGCCTTTGTCCTCACCCGTGGACTGTCCCCTCCCACACTGACTGTGAACCTTGCCATGAGTCTTGCTTTGATCAATGGACTTGCCCTCTTAAAGCAGTTGGGACCTCCCGTGTGAGCAGGCCATGGCTAGCCTGCTCAGGATGAAAGACACACGGCCTTGTCATCCCCACTGCCCAGGTGACAGTCAGCCATCCTTCCAGACATGCAGGTGAGGCCCTGTAGGACCAGACAGCTCCCCCACCAACCCGCTACCCTACCACACAGGCATGAGTCAGCCCAGCCTAGACCCAAAGGATAGCCTTGCAGAATCATGAGCTAAATAAATTATTATTCAGCAACAGACAAGGGGTACCCTGGCCCACCCAGGATTTGGGAGAATGTGCTGCAGGCTTGGGTTCCACAAGGAAGCAACCCTGTCCACAGAGGCTGCCAGAGAGCAATGGTACTCACTGTCACACTTCATCCCCTGGTGGATGAGTCCATACAGCAGTGACCCACAGTGGTCACAAAACGTTGGGCTGGAGTATGTGTGGATCTTGAACTTGTGTTTGCTCCGGGGGTCCTAAGGTCAAAAGAAACAAACAAGAGGTAGCGTCAGTGGGGCATGCCAAGGTTTCATGCTGCACTAGGCATCACTGGAGAACTCCACGAGAACTGAGCTTGACCCCCAGCATTCATCACACCTGTCGGGGTCGCCGTCAGAGCTCTGTGCCCAGACATGGTGCTTGATAAATAATCATTGAGTGAATGAATGAATGAGTGAACGAATGAATGAATGAATAAGACAGCTGATGGCTCCCCTTCCAGCCCCAACACATTCACTGTGCCTGCAAGTCCTCCATCTGGGAACCCAACCTACTGACTCCTGCCCGCAGCAAGGACTCCAGAGGGCCAAGCAAAATACCAGACACATCAGTTACACAGGGCCCCTTGCTCCTGTTCCTCCCTCCTTTGTCCTCCAGGCAACTTCTGGAGGGATCCAAAATCCAGGTATCAGCATGAAACCTCCCACTTAGAGGTCATTTGTTAGTAGCTCATCATCTACAGGATAGAGTTCAAGGTCCAGCGAAGAGTCTGCAGGTTGCGGCACAGACTACTGGTTTTCCACCACCACCTATTCTTCTTCTTAATAACAGAGCCCTGGAGTTGTAGCAGAGAGCCTGGCTGCCCAACTAGAAACCACATTTCCCAGCCTCCCTTGCAGTTTGCTGTATCCATGTGCTTGAGTTCTGGCCAAAGGGATGTGTGTGTCTCAGTCATTCCTTTAAAAGGAAGGTGCACAGCCTCTCTGGCCCCTTTAGCCCTGCCCACCGGCTGGAAGATGGTGAGAAGCAGAAATGACCACCTTGGACCCCAACTTGGAGCCATGTGCTGAAGGATTAAATCACCCTCCCAGCCCTAGACTTTGCCCTTTTGGACAGACATCTGAGAGAAAATCTACCTTCTATCTTATTCAAGTCATTACGTTTGGGGGCTAATTGTTACAGCAGCTTACACGGTTCCCTAGCTAACTAAAGTGCCCTTCGTAACTGTAGAGCGGTGGTTAAAGGTACAGATTTTGCAGCATAAACTGCCTGCGTGCTTCTTTGCTGTATGACTTTGGACAAGTTATTTAATTTCTTTGTGCTTCACTCTCCTTGTCTGTAAGATAGAGATAATGATAGTGTTATAAGTTTATAGGACCACTGGGAAGAACAAATGAATTAACCTATGTAGAGGTATTAGGACCACTTGGCACACGGCAAACAGTATAAGCTCTTGCATTATTATTACAACATCCCCCATGTGATCCCAAATATGCCCCCAAACACATACTAGGCTTTTAGGACACAGGACTTGTTCGTACTCCCAAATATGCCACACCCCTCATGACTCTGGCTCTGCGCATATCTTTCTCCTTCAAGAGATGCTTTCACTAAAAAAATTCCTTCTTCTCTCCCCCAACCCAGCCTGAAATTTGCTTTCTCTGTGAAAGAGTATATTGCAGAAGTTAAAAACAAGGGCCTTGAGTCTCAACCCAGGGCTGATCTGACATCCTCACCTTTGTGATACCCACCTCTTCCTTAATCCATTCATTCATTCATTCATTCATTCATCCATTCACATTTATTAATTGAGGCAGGTGCCTTTTCAAAATATATTCTAGTAACAGAGACAGAAAATGGACAAGTAAGAAAATAAACAGAAATTATTTTATGTGCAATTAAAGTGATGAGTGTTTCTCCCTTAGGAAACTGTTATTTTCAAAAATTTAAAAATAATCCTTACACCTACTAGAATGGCTAACATCTTAGAAAATTGATACTGGCAATACCAAGGGCTGGTGAGGAGAGAACACAGCTGGAACTCATACAATGCTAGGGGGAGGGCAAAATGATAGAGCCAATTTGGAAATCCATGTGGCTGTTTCCTATATAGGTAAACATACCCATATCAGCTATGACCCAGTAGTCTCACTCTTGGGTGTGAAATGAATGTATGTATCTATCAAAAAAAAAAAACAAACCCGAACGTTTACAGCCATGTTACTTGATAATAGCCAAAGTCTGGGAACAACCAAAGCATTCAACATTCAACCTGTGAATGGATAAACAAAGTGTGGCACTTCCACACAATGGAATACTTCTCAGCAGTAGGAAGGAATGAACTTCTGCCAGTAGTTCGTGCATCTCAAAAGCACTAGGCTTAGGAGAAAGATGTCAGACAGGTGCCTTTTGACTCCATTTCAATAAAAGGCTATATGCAGTATGATTCCATTTAAATGACATTCTAGAAAAGGCAAGACTATGGGGACAGAAAAAAGATAGGTGGTTAAGAAGGGTTGGAGTTGGAAGGGGATTGATGACAAAGGAACAGCACATGGGAACTTTTGAGGGGTGACTGGCATGTTCTGTATATCAACCATGGTGAATTTTACTTTATGTTAAAAAAAAAGTGAATTTTGTTGCATGAAAACTCTATCTCAATAAGCCTCCCTAAAAATCCTCCTTCAATGAAGACTTTTGTCGGCCTGCATCCTTTTATTGGGCTACAAAGCTGCTTTTGTGACATTCCAAGCCTCTGTGCTCAGGCAGATAGAGTTGGCCCTTGCACAGCTCTGGGCTAACTTTGAGAGGCTAGGTCTGCCCTGTCCTGGCTGTGGGACCCTGCAGGGCTCCCAGGATGCAGAAGGACCCCATAACCACCTCCCCTGCTCGAGAATTGAGGTGTTACCCCAGTGACAACAGCAGGTGCTGGAAATCACAAAACAAAAACTTAAGACTCCCAGTTGATGGCTTAACCAACCATGTTTCCATCTTTCGGCAACAAGACTAAGGAATACTTCCGGTTCCTAGAAAGAGTCCTGGTACTCGGTGCCATAAAACGCTTCCCCTGTGCCCGCCCTTTGAGAATTCACCTTAAAGTTGAGAAATTAGTGCCTCAAAATCCACCTTAAAAAACCCCCACCTGTTCATGACTAGTATTGGCCTGTAGGGGGAGCTCACGGCTTCTCTCATTCCCCTACCTAGTCTCCAAGAAGGAGGAGAGCCAATTGGGTGGGTCAGTTTCCAAGACACTGATTGGCCCAGCCTCGGTGGGCGGAGCCTGCACATGCTTTAAAAGCCGTACCTGCCATCTTTCTCTCTCGCTCATGTCTCCCAGGAGGCTGCTGGGTCCAGGTACCATGATCTTGTCCTAAGAAGGTTGGGCATGAGTGGCCTGGGTCAACTCCACTCCAAGCCCTGGGGTTAAGTTCTCTCTCTCCTCTTGGTTCTTGTATTCCCTCTGAGTTCCCTGATAGGCTGACCTTAAAGGAGCCACGAATTCGTTTTCAGCAGGTTTTTAATTTCCTCAGGTCTACCTAGGTAGAGGAGTCTCTGAGGGCCTCCTGAGCTCTACTTCGAGACTTGAGGCAAAACCCCAACTAACAATGAAGTAACCCTTTGCTGGCTGTGCACTTTCTTCCATGCATATATCTCAGCAGGGAATCCCAGCAAGAAGGAGTCAACCATTTCTGACCAGATATTATCATCAAGAACCTTCTCCATCTCAGCATCAGCAGATGCCAAGTGGCACAAAGAAGGGAAGGAAAAAGAAAACATCCTCGACTGGCAGCGGCCCACATGCCAAGTGACAGCCACATGGAAGGTGTTACTCACTCCCATTGCAGTGATGACGAACCAGACCCAGATGAGGGAGCAGGACCTTCTCCCAGGTCAACCAGCTGGCTCCCCACAGAGCTGGGCCTCACTGGGGTCTGCCTGGCTCCAGAGATGGGATGCACCAGGTTACACTCTCTTTTCTCCTCAAGCCCCAACTTCACTGATGCCTCATCATTCAGGTCCAGCTAAAGCATCACTTCCTTCCTGCTTTCCTTTGTTCATTCACCCAGGAAGTGTTTCCTGAGAGCCAGGTTCTTCCTAAGCACTGGGGATTCAACTGTGAGGAAGAGAGACAGAAGGCCTGCTCTCATGGAACTTACGCTTTAATGGTGGAGAGGAACTAAAAAGAAATAATTTCCATGCCCTACCCCCCAGCATCTTTCCCAGCTTAGCATTTAAAGCACTATGTTGTAATCGCATGTTTAATTGCATCTCTCTCACACTTAGCTGCAAGCAACATGGGGGAATTTTGCCCACCATGGCATCCCAGGGCATATACTGTACCTGGCATACGGAAGATGCTCGATAAATATTCCATGAGTCAGAGTTAACATTTATTGGGCGTTTACTCAGGCCAGGAGCTCATGGAGTTACCAGGCATTAGCTCATTGAATCCTCATAACACTGTATGAAGAATGTACTATGTACTGCCCCCTACTTTACAGATGAGGAAATCGAGGCATGCAGAGATGCAGTGACTTGCCCAGGGCTCCCCAGCCTTGGCACCACAGCATGTGGCACGGTGGTCAGTTAGTTGTGATGGAGGTCGTGGGGTTGCAATCACCACCACCATGCACAGAGCACCCCCGTCAGGCTACAGAGATGCAAGGGCAAGAGAGTGGGAACACCTGAGTGTCACCTGGCAGCCTCCCTGCTCCTCAGCCTTCCCAGAGGGTCTCCCACCTGACAGGGGATTACAGATGAGGACACTTTTCATCCCACACAAATATGGCACCAGCCAGTGTCCAGTCCCTTGGAGCTCCCCATCCCCACCCCCAAACCGGAGTCTTCCCTGTGAACGCCCACCCACCCAGGACCAAAGGACAAGCAGATCCCAGCTCAGCATCTTCAATTCATCACCTGACTCCAGGCACAAGCAGCTAAGGAGGAAGGAAGCACAGATCAGAAATCAAAAAAAAAAAAAACTTTAAACCTCTAAACCAAAACCTAAAATAGCCTCTTTCAGTCTGAATGGGCCATGTGGCTTTGTGCACAGGTGGGCTGAAATCTGCCTGGGCCGAGGCAAAGCTACAGGAATAAGGAAGCTGAGTTGAAACACAAAGGCCAAGAAAGCACAGGCCAACAGTGTCAGTCAGAGGAGGACATCACAGAAGCCTGTAAATTCAGACTGTATTGTCCCCGGACCTTTGCAGGCCACAAAATATACCCCGAAGGTACATTTCCTAGGAGGTAGACAGGC